AAATGGGATAAATCGGATGAAAACCCCACCCACTCTCCATAAAACGGCAATGCTTGAAAATACTAAAAGTGTAATAACTCACTAAATAAATGTGTCAGAAACATTAAATTTTGGATCCACGATGGTATGAAAGAGGTTTATAGGAGACGGTATTAAAATTGGACAATGGGCGTGCCCATTGCGCACCAATATTTAGTCTTAATCGGATAACATTTTTTCAAGCCTTAAGGTACTGAATATGTGTATAAAATCGGGTCAAGACTTTCTCTAGCCTCCATATACCTAATATAAAGATTTTCGTACTTCCGGTTGACTTTATACCGTATATATTGGTTGATCTACGAGGTTTCTCAATGAAATTCATAGCACATTTTTTTATTTTGGTATTGGTTTTACTGGTAATTATATATCGTGTAATATAAAAATAGATTAAATCGGCTCAATACCACTCCAAACCCGCATTATAAGGATTTAAACTTTATGCCGCATATCACGGTCAGAGTGTGTATTGTCTTCATAAAATTGCGTTTCAACATATTTCCGAATATAAGTACTTGAGTAATGTGCCATTTTAACGTAATCAGTCTTGACCTTCAAATACACCCGATATAATGACATCCGACTTTCTAGCTGACTTTAAGCCGATTAGATTGATCAAAATGTGGTCATGGCCCATCATCCCTAATATATTGATTTTCATTTTACTCGTCGATTTGTCCTCATATATCCAATAAATTATATTTACTCTCTTTGGTTGAGTTTATATAATTAACGAGATTGATTTCAATATCAAAATCCCAGATATGAAGCAAAATATAGTATTAAAGCTGAAAGAGTCTAAGACCTATAATATAATTAATAATATATCAAACATGATTGTAATCCCTTCAACTTTTCGTAGTTTTGCAAACACCGGAAGGTATTTTCCTGACTGGTCTTTGCGAGAGTTTAAATTGTTTGGTTACGCCCAAACTTAGCTATTCCTTACTTGTTTCAATAAGTAAAAATAATAAAAATTTAAGAACACCTGAAAATATTTACCCGCCTTAGCCCTTCCTTATGTCTTTTCCATTGAAGCTTTTTATCCAAGATATAATTTTAGTCTCTGTACTTGGATCATCTAAACTTTTTATACAAATCTATGTCTTTGGAATATATTCTAGTTGTAAGACTAGCGAAAACCCGTCTCAGATACTTAGAACGACTTAACGCTTTATGTTGGCTACCGCTTACTAACTAATGCCAATTGTATAACATAAAATATATAAAATAGATCTACGGATACATTTATTAAATGGTACAAGAATGATGTTTTTTAACTAGTGAGGTGAGATATATGGTTATTAAACACAAACGTGTCAGTGGTCTTTCCGAGTAGCAATCTTCAACATTGAAGACCACCTAAGAGGAAGCTATATGAAGCTATTCAGAGCAAAGATCATGTAATGAAGCATTAAAAATACCAGCTCGTTCCATAATCTCTGACAAGTTCAAAAATCATCTGGATCCGAGGAGCCCGAACTAACTCCGAAACCCAACGACAACAACATAAAAATGACGAAAATTATTGTACTTCCACGTAAAACTACCATATACCACATTTCTACAGAACTAATACAAAGCAATGTTTGCTATAACTAACTGAATGCAAGCCAATATCAGCCTGCAGTGAATTCATGATGATTATTCCGTTCGTTTCAAACTACGAACCAGACGACGCTAGAGCAAGTCAACTTACTTGCTGTGATAAGTATTGTCCTTAAATAATACTGTGTTTGTTGAAAGTGATGTTGATGTGAGCTAAACGGAGCCCAGTAGCTAGATCATCTCTGTCCGCAAAATAATGCTTTTCACCAAACAATGAGCAATATACAATATATACCTTTATCACATTAGTTTACGAATATACAAAATAACTGACATATTCAATAATATCTAACTACCAATCCCGAAATACAAATTTATACCAGAAATTTATAATTATGTAGAGAACACACGGAAAAAAGGGATTACAATTTCATAGACCGGTAGCAAGACATTAAAAATATTATTATGACGTTTTGAAATAAAAATTTGAATTCAACAAAATTTGTACTTCAACATTAGACCAACGTAATATTTTTTACAGAATTGGTCTAAAATTGTAAATACACATACTGTTTTATATATATGCAGTAGCAGCAATGTTTTGAGATTCATAACTTTACCAAGATTCAGAAAAAAGAATATAATAATAAAAAAGTCACTAATGTTCACACATAAAAGTGTGTACACATTTAAAAGCATTATTTAAGTTCATCAAAGCTATCGCACCCGAAAACATATAAGTACATAGATGCACACAATATGCACAAATGTACTATGTACATACTATGCACTACATAAATCATCCATTAGCATTTTTACACAAATTGTTAAATATATAAAAGTTTACAACAAAAACATTTATGGAAATTAATTATTCAAAGGCACTAATAGAAATTGGTTTTTGTTGTAATTTCATATGATCACAGAGATGAATTTTTATATTAGCTTTGCGTTCAATACTATAGCACTTTTCAAGTAGGCCTGATTGATAAGAAACTCTCTTAAGCCGGGTTCAATAACATGATTTGGAAACAGAATACAATACTCGTATATAAAATAATTTACATACGTACATACAGTGGAGAGCAATAATGGTCGGATGTTTGTCAAAATTCAATAATTATTCAATTAACAACAAAAAGGCAACATAAACCAATAATTTCATAGGAAAATCAATGGAAAGTCATATACCTATATCCAGTTATGCATGCTAACCTGAGTACATTTTGATTTTTGATTTACTGTTATTTTTCCGAAGAAGACAAAAAGTTTTTAGTTAAGTTAAGTATAGTGCAGTTCGTACATTGTCCATTTAACTATGAAAAGGTCAAAGGATTTGGAAAACCGTATCGTTTAGTTATCTCAAACTAAAAAAGGGCGGAGAAATTGCAAAAATAACCAGTTTTAGTAAAACAACCGTAATTTCAGAAAAGAAATAATTAGGCATCTTTGGGCAACTCTGGTGGGCGAGCAAGGATATTGAATGACAATGATACTTGTCATATGGATCGGTTGATCTGAAAAATATTAGGTAAAGTAAAAAGTTCGTTCGGTTTTTATCTAAGAGATGGTGTTATTGTCCATAGTACTAGTGTTACATCATGTCATACTATACGGCGCTGAAAACGTGTTTATTCGCGCTAAAAGTTTGTCTTTGACAGTTTTTCGATTGATTTACTCAGTTCGTTGTGAGCGCTCGTCAAAGATGTACACCAACAAAGAAAAAATTCGCTATATTTTACAATTTTTCTTCGATCAAAGCGAAAAAGCAGCAAAAGCGGCTGAAAACATTAATTTAGTTAATGAGCCCGATACTGTAAACGAACTTGTAGCACAAAAGTGATTTGCTAGGTTCCGTTCTGGTAATTTCGATGTCAAAGATGCACTACGCGTCAGGAGGCCTGTCGTCCAAAATTGCGATAAAATCATGGAAATAATGGAAACAGACCGTCACGTGAGCACTTATTTAATTGCTGAGGAACTAAAGATAAGCCAGAAAACCGTTTGGAACCATTTACATAACCTTGGATTCAAAAAGGAGCTCGATGTTTGGGTGTCACACGAACTAACGGAAAAAACATGATGGACCGAATTTCCATCTGCAAATCGCTGCAGAATCGCAACCAAATCGACCCGTTTCTGAAGCGAATTGTGACTGGCGATGAAAAATGGGTCACTTATGACAACATCGAGCGCAAACAGTCGTGGTCAAAGCTCGGGGAAGCGGCCCAGATGGTGGCCAAGACCTGATTGATGGCCAGGAAGGTTTTGCTGTGTGTTTGGTGGGATGGGCATGGAATCATCTACTGCGAGCTGCTCCCCTATGGCCAAACGCTCAATGCGGCCCTCTACTGCCAACAACTGGACCGCTTGAAGGCAGCACTCATCCAGAAAAGGCCATCTTTGATCAACAGAGGCCGAATTGTGTTCCATCAGGACAACGCTAGGCCACACACGTCTTTGGTGACTCGCCAGAAACTCCTGGAGCTCGGATGGGAGGTTCTAATGCACCCACCTTATAGTCCGGACCTGGCACCAAGTGATTACCCTCTTTTCCTGTCCATGGCGAACGCGCTTAATGGTTAGAAGTTGGGCCTCAAGAGAGACCTGTGAAAATTGGCTCTCCGAGATTTTTGGCAATAGGAACGCAGTCTTCTACGATAGGGGTATAATGAAGTTGGCATCTCGTTGGCAACAAGTTTATGAACAAAACGGCACATATTTGACTTAAATCGGACAAATGCGCACAAAGTTATCATCTATTGAAAAATCAATAAAAAACCGAACGAACATTTTACTTTACCATATTTAAATTAAGACCTAAGATGGACAGCCAGAAAAAATTGAGCTAGTCGCATCTTTTAAGCAAAATAAATCTACGCTGTCCAAGAAAAGCATTTCAGCTCGAGTTCAATTCTGCCGAGAACGTACAAATTTCATAATAGTTACCCAGCCAGGCATATATAGTAAGTTAATAAAACAAGAAGTATACACCTTAAATAATTACCTACAATGTTTATTCTAACTTTCGGATGAATTGTCGACCATTTTCAATTGAGAAGCTTTAAATTTGGTGAAAATTGGTTGAGTAGTGTCTATAATATGGGATTTCACGTAAAAAGGAGTGATGCCACATCCATTGTTCATTTTTGATACCTAGTGCCATGTATTGCTTCTGCACCATCTCAAATGAAGAATATGTACATATAAGTTTCAAGATATTTCAACTTTTACACAAGTTATCGCTTATTTCGTCATCCTAATTATTTATATAAAACCCAACTTTTATCTCAGTTAATTTTAGTTGTTACAAACAATAGTTAGTTGAACAATCTATTTTAATTTTTGCATCATGTTGCAAGAGTATAAAAATAGTACATTTACGGAAAGAACCCCCTCTTATTATATTATACCTTATTTTACTTGTTCAAAGTGATGACTTCTGTAAAAAAAATATTAAAATAGAAGATATTCAAAGAGCTAAAATTTTGATAATCAAACCTTTACGTTCTGTGTTGCTTTTAAATATATTTCCAGAGATACTGTTTCATTTAGCATTTAGGATGATGGAAGCGCGAGAGTAAAAGTAGGTAGGTACGCTGTACATATGTACTCGTATATGTATATTCCTGCTGTGAAATATTTAATTAATCAGGATATATAACGGTTTAAAAATACCAGTTCTCATGTGAAATCCAATTAGATAAAGGTAAAGTATTAGATGACTAATTATATAACGATTTTCGAATGAAGTTTTTTACTTTACCAGTGGTTTTTCTGCATAACCAACCTAGAACGTTTTATATATTTTTAAACAGTTATACCTGTTGGCATAACTAACCACTATGGGCCGATTCGTACCTCGTATCGCAGTTTCGTAGGAACATTATATACCATACATAGATAGTTGGCTGATTAGTTAGCCTCGTACATACTGTTTGAAAAATATTATTTGACTATTCGATTTTTTGTTCCTACACGCAAGTACAAAATATGTACATACATATGTGTAGCTGGGCTGTTTCGAAAAAATCTCTTCTTGCTTTAGATATTCTAGGTGTCAGGTTTGCAGGGTAGTTAACATTTAACTTTTCGTCACTATCAGAATCACAATGGCATCTATAAGATTAAACTGAATATTTTAAATTTATAAAAAAAAGATATTTGTGGCATACATACCGTAAAGGTTTATACATTTGACATATTTAATACTTCAAAATAAATATTGCTTCCTTTTTCAACTTATCTACGAACTGCACAATTCTTCATTTGTGGTGTTGAAAATATTCATATGTATGTATAAAAACGAATATGAATATGAATACTCACACAGCTGTATATACTTCATACACACATTGGTATATGTGTGAACAAAAATGAGCTGCCTTATCTGCTCGCTAAACATTGGACTTATTCTTATTCCAGTGTCATGTCTTTAGTCAGTTGTCGTTCGAACCTTATCAGTTACTAAATACGGATCAAAATAAGTCAAACACTTTTAATTATTCTTAGTAAACCTTAAAATACCTATTTGGTTGCAATAATAATAAAAAAAATTAATTGTATAAAAAATACCTCACATAAGTATAACTTAATAATGCTTAAAGCCTAAACACTAAAGAGGGTTTATTTATTAGTGAACTTTAATAATATTCCAACCTACTAATAAAACCGATATCCGCGAAAAGCTCTATTTTCTTGTGTGTATTTATAATTTACCGAAGTCAAAGTATGTAAGTGCAAGCTAACTGAAAATAATATATAAATTTTTTAAAAGCTGATAAGTAAAATCACGAATCAGTTATATAAGGTTGTGTCGTTAGCACAAAAACAGCAAGCTGTCAAAAGTATTTTCATCATTAATGTCAAAAACAACTGTTTTGCTTCTATTTTATGATTTAAAAATATATTTTTCAATTATTTCAGCCAATAACAATTTGTTTTTGAGTGACAACTGAAAATACCCAAAATCTTCAAAATGTAAACAATTATAGAAAAACATAAAATTACGATGGAGCACGTTTTCTAGCAAACAAATATTATATAAGTACTATTAAATTATGAAAAACTTAATTAAATTCTAAATTTCAAAAATAGGAGTAACATAAACGAGTGACGATTTTTACAAGCTACATAGAAATTGTGTTTAAGATAATCTCTCGCTTAACTTAATAAACGATTTTTTTTGTTTCGATAAACAAAAACTGTCTTCACCCCAAAAGGATAAATATACTATTAGTATAATATAGTGAGACAATATATAAATAAGTATAACAAGTATAAATAAGTGAGACAATTTTTCTTGAATAATAATTAAAGTACCGAGCAAATGTTTCTACAATTTATTTTAAAGCTATACAAAAATATTAAAACACAACCAAACTAAATAAAATTTTGAGTAATTTATTCCTTTTTAAATAAATTTTTTAGTTACTTAAAAGATACTTCATTTTTCAGTTTTACTCGTTCCACAAAAACAAGTTGTTCATGTGTTCTTAGAAAATTCCTTTAATTTTAACTAACCAACAAGCTTTAGCTAACCAACCTTTAACTATTTTGTTTTGTTACTGTGTTCAAGCATGACTTCATCTTCGGGAAAATCACTCACATCCATGAAGACAGACAAATTGGTCTCAAAAATATTCATTAGTCTTCCTTCTTTAGTGTGCAATTTTTTTAAAACAAGTTTCATTATGCCACCATGTAAAGAAAACTCACAACATCAAACTTCCTTCTCCATGCCTTACGGTTTGTTTCACATGAGGCCTTTGGATGCTGTCGTTAGGGTGGCGCCAGTAAAAATTTCGTCTAAACAAATCACACGCTTCCAGTCCTCAACGCTCCAATTTTTATAAAATTTGCAAAAGGCTAGATGTGCATTGATATTTTTGGTCGGTAAGGCCGACTTGATGCAATTCTCTACGCGCGGTCCATTCGCTGACTATCTTATTTAACACTTATGCAGCTTTTTTTGGTGTCATTGAACTATTTTTCCGCATTTCCCTATCCATTGGACGTGCACCTTGGTTTCAGAGTAGTTTATAGCGTCTTCCGACATTTCGCACCCATGCAATATTTCCCCTCTTGAAAACAATAACTACAGTACGTTGGTTTATAACTATTTTTTTTTTATCTTTCGTCAATACCACGATGATGTTTTTTATCTCGGCACTTGTTTTTATACTCTTGCACCGTGTTGCTACGGTGTATAATATTCACCTCTCGGTTGTTTGTATCACCTAAAACTAATCGAGATAGATATGAAACTTAGTACCCAGGTTCCGTGGCACCATAAGAAATTTGGTATTGTAGATGGGCGTATGTGGCAATAGTCCACGCCCACAAAACTCATTGGAAGGGACATTTATGGTTGAAAAACATTTAAAAAAGTGGGTGTGGCCCCGTCCGCAATAAGTTTAATGTTTAAATCTCCTTAACTATTCGAGCTATAATAACCAAATTTGCACAGAATAAATATTTTTGACTCTTCCTTTGACAGTAGAAAATGAAAGAGATCGGATGATAACCCCGGCCACTCCCCATATAACGGTTTTGTTAAAAAACTGCGATAAATCAATAACTAAATGCGTCAGAGATATTAACCCACGGCCCACATTTGGGTGAAAACCCATATTTCGGGATCTACCTGACCAAATCTAGTATATAATATAATCCTGACGATCCTATGTTACATTGTGAAAATGGGTTAAATTGGACTGCAACCATATGATTCTTACACTTTCCAGTATACAAATCAAGCATCAATGAATATATCGGGACAAAATTTGCACAAATAGTGCCTTTGAGGTATACTAAGTCTATCGTAAGAAGTATCGAAAAAATGTATCCTGTGCAAATTTGGGTGCAATAACTTGCTTGGTTTGGGAGATATATATGTACATTAAACCTTTTAAAGGATGAGGTTACGCCAAATTTTTCAAAATTTTTTAAACCACAAATGCCACTCCTTAATGCAATTCGTTGAACGAAATAACAGTATTGTAACTTTTTGTGGAGCTTAGTTGTGGTACTTGATAGATTTTCGATCAATGGCGTTTTGGGGGAGTGGCAATAGTCACGTACGTCCATCTGCAATTCCAACATTCTCATGTTGCCAAGAAATATGTGTACCTAGTTTTATCATGTTATCCCAATTTTCACACAAGTTACAGCTTGCACAGAGTTGTAAAAGTATTAAAATGTTGCGAAAGAGTTCAACATTCTTTATTCTAAGAAACTTAACATTCATTTATAATATTATAGGTCTTAGACTTACATAGTATTATGAATATATCTATTATGCATTTAATAAATATTGCTAATATATATGTGTTTATTTTATTACCAGATTAGCACTCACCAAGGACAATATTACTTCCCTTTTTTTCCTTCACAGAACGCCTTTTGTTTAAGGTTTAAATTCAAAAGATTTTATTTTTTTTATTTTTTTTGTTAAATGATATTGTTCACAACCTTTTTATTGGCTTAACACCTAAATTCAAATATAGCGTATAACTTTTTTTTTATAAAAATTAACACAGCGATTTTAATATTAGACAGTCTTGACGGTTGGTAGCGGAGATAGCGATTTTCCTGATGACGGTACGCAAAAGAGATTGGTGGTCGCTCGTCGTCCCCTTTTTACCTCCTTCGGTGTGGTGTGTAGTGTGTCTTCATGTGTGGTGTGATCGTGATGATAGGGTTGGTGTGGAATGTGTGTGTGGGATGTAGATGGGCCCACCTAGGCAAATATTTAGCCTACCAAATTCTGCAGTTGTTGCAACGTTGCTACAACACTGCTGAGGCCAGTGGGGCGGCGGGATGATGGTCTGGGCCGTCGGTGCCGTGCAGGTGTTTCGTTCCTTACATTCCTTGGACGATACTGTGGAGCGGCAGCTGGGCGTTGATGTTGTATCGGGTGGCTGGGCGGCGGTCGCCTGACAGCGCCGCGACTGCGTGGTGCGGGTGGTCGCCGAACGTCGCGCCTGGAGGTGCGGTGAAAGAACGTATGGTGTACCCTTCCGCACAATTGACATGAACTCGCGACTCTTGCGTCGTATGGGTGAGACTCAGGCAATTGAGGCAGTGTCCATGCGCCTGGGCTACCCGCTGACGTTGACTGGGTTGCATGGATTTGAAGATGCTACAGTGCTGTAGCCGGTGTGAGCGGCGACACAGCGGACATCGGGTGCGGTGCGGCTCCGGTTGCACCAATGGCGACGCTGGCGGTGGTTGTGCTGTGTTCCGCGCTACAGCTGTGACAGTTGTTGCAGCGGTGGCTCGAGGCGCTGGAATCGGCCCAGTGCGCGGCACGTTAATAGCCGATCGAATGGTTGGCGTTGGATTTGTCGGCATTTCCACGTCCATATTAATCTGTATGAAAAGATTAGATTTAGTATATGTTTGTGGCATATAATTGAATATGGGCAATTGTGCCACGTGATGTGGCACGCGTGGGTCGGCATATTGATCGACCATTTCTGTTTGGAATTGTTGTTAACGTTTTTTTTTTTATTTATTTGCGGGTTTATTGATTCGATTTATTTGAATTTAATACCATTTTAGTTTCGGTAGTACGGTCGGTGGGCAGGAAGCATAGTTTTACGAGCGGTCTGGTTAGCGTTCCCGATTGCGTGCGGAGATCTACTATTCGGATATGACCGTCGGACCCGGAATGAAGCTTTTCTATGCGGCCAAGCCGCCATTCGGTGGGGGGGAGACAATCATCATGGATTAGGACGCAATCTCCAAGCTTTGGCGCTTTTTCTGGAGTTTTCCAGCGGTACCTCTTGTGGAGGTCCTTTAAATATTCTTCTTTCCATCGACGGCTAAAGTCATGATGGAGAATTTTGACTCTTTCCCATCGATTTAATAAGGATAGCGACTCCACGCCTGGCTCAGGTATGGCCAGAATGGGTGTTCCTTTGAGAAAATGCCCTGGAGTTAGGGCTGTCAAATCTGAGGGATCTTGCGAGAGTGTCGTTAGTGGCCGTGAATTGAGAACGGCTTCGATACGGATTAGTAATGTTGTAAATTCTTCGTAATTGAATTTGTAATTTCCAGCTACTTTTTTGAAGTGGGATTTGAAGCTTTTTACAGCTGATTCCGATAAACCACCCATATGAGGAGCGCTTGGGGGGATGAATTGCCAATTAATGCCTTGGGGCGCGCTTTTGTACAATCTCAGGTGAGACTTGTTTGATAAAGTCCACAAATTGTTTTTCGGTGGCTCTTTGAGCGCTGATAAATGTTTTACCATTATCGCTCATGATCTTCGATGAAAAGCCGCGTCGACCGACGAAGCGAGCAAATGCCGCAAGGAAAGCCTCCTTTGTCAGATTAGTACAAAGCTCAAGGTGTACTGCTTTTGTCGTAAAACAGACAAAAACAGCCACATAGCCTTTCATCAGAGTGGGAGACCTTAACATGGACGCCGTTATTTGAAAAGGCCCAGCAAAGTCGACACTGGAAGTGCTGCCATAATCTGTGTTCTCATCTTTTGCTTGTGCGTGGTACAGATTTTGCACAAGAAAATGCACTTCTTGATTTGGGGCTTAAGTCGGGGAATGTAAAATTCCTGGCGGACCATATGCTGCATGAGACAATGTTCGGCATGAAGCATTAATATGTGGATATAATTGATGAGTAGTGTGGCAAGTCGAGACTTCTCTGGAACAATTATGGGATGGCGTTCGTTATTACGTTAGGCTTGAATTGGCAAGCCGACCAT